TCTGGTCAATGTGACCAAGCCGGATTATCAACCACACTGCGTAGTATTGTCACTGCCTCGACAGCATCTTTTCCATACACATCGTTTGTGACATCTGAATGGCTATAATCAGGCCTGGGATAGCGAGTCCCCCATTTTGTTTGGCAGAGTAAATTTAGCTAAACGGAATGTGTACCCAGTTACGACTAGGTTGTCTGCTGTCCTTATTGTGTAGGCTTGGCAAAGTATTAGCGACCATCAGCCTTGGTATTGCGTACCTCCATATGATCTTCATTAGTCGACTTAACTCCACCTTATCAAGCATTTTCTGCAGGTATTTGCAGACTTGTTTTTCACTGAAAATAAATGCGATGCCCAAATGAGACATACTGTATGTTGGACCCGAAGATGTGATGACTTTCTTGTCATAGCGAAAGGGTTCAACCAAAGTCGTGGTTGTCCAATATCTACGTCCACAGTACATACAACCGCTTTCATTTTTGGGCTTCGATTGTCACATCAATTCTCCCCACATCAACCCTCTCAGCGTCTGGCTGACTTCATCAGCTAAAGTGATACCTTCCGATGGGGTTATTTTGAAACTGTTAGCAAATCTGCTATCTCATAATGATGAGCGATATTGAAGCGAGTGAACTTGTCTGCCTCGCTCCTCTGTCAGAGTTAACCTTCAAAAGAACGGAATTAACCACCACATTCTTATAGGAGAGCACAATGTATTAAAATAAGAGTGATTATTTTTTGGAAACCGCAAGAGTTAGGATCACCATGTGGTGCGAAATGGAAACAGAAGTTTTTGAGGTATCACAAAAGCCAGGCCAAAGTTGGAGGCTGTGTGACAAAGCCAAGCGTGTAACACGGATACAGCTTCGGGGACCCAGCGATGAGCGAATCCCTTGTGAATCAGCCGAACAAGAATCACAAGGACGGATGTCCGACGTTGTCCGATTTGCAACATTTAGAACACCCGTAACTCCCCACGACAATGACGAGCCTGTATACAACCGGGACTGAATTATCCAGAGGATCATGGGGCCAACTCCCACTCTCGTAACTGACTCCACCAAACTCCAGTACGATAGCAGCATGGGCTACTTTACTGCCTGTCGACACAGAACACCTCCATTCGGTTCTGTTTGGGGTCCGAATGTTGACCGCAGTTTCCTTCCACGACAAATCGAGACCAGCAGATGTCCATAGTTTCAGATCTAGTACTGTAATTTTCAGACGTCGATGGAACAGACTAAGCGAATTCGCTTTCCGTTGGTCGGCATATGGTGGGATTTCCACCATAGACGTTGTCAGACGTGTTTCCGGGTGCTTGGAAGTGTCCTAACTCAGTGGAGGTTCCCTGACGTCAAAGTTTGCCCAAATTTCATGATGCTAGATTGCAGCTCCTGAACAGAGTTCGGTATTAACATCTGTCAGGGTGTAACTCACGGTTCTTTTGTACCAGGTTGTATTGGGAAAAAATTAGAACTGTCTATCCAATTGTTTGACCGGTACGGATGACGATTCATCCAGCTGTGGCTTCAAGTTAAGCACACATAATCTGGTTGTTACTGATAACAGATTGATCAGAAAAAGTGGTTCCAGCCTTAGGAACCGCGCGGTTTGCTTGACACAATACGGACATAAATGATCGGCCAGATTTAAGAAAGATCATGGCTCTTGGTGGGAATATTTTGCAACCGAATCCTCCTCTGAATCAAGTTTACCTACACTGTGCCAAAAAGAATGTTCGGTTTGACGTTTCTGACTCATGCAAGTCTTTCGGAGGTCGACGGGAAAAACTATCGGAAGCCAAACGGATGACCATTTGCCAGCGATTTCGTAGACATTAATCTACTGGAAACATGCCAGGTCAACCTTCGAGTTGCAGTGCTGGCCACAATCCTCATACTTGAGCCCAACGAGTCTGTCCTGTCTAATGGTTAGATCTGGTACGCAGGCACCAGTTATATCGCCTTGTTTGTAGGCAGAAATATCCGATATGTTCAGCCACCTCTTGTGCTACTGAAATTAGCACACCCAGGCTGACTTCCGTATCATCAATTAGGCATCAGGATGAGCTGGTCCAGTGAGTTACCGCCACCGCTGGTCTTACTACCGTTGGCGTTTGAATTGAGTTGCATGACCAGTCGAATAAAAAGTGTGGGAGATAGATGTAGGGGCGTCTACGTACAAACGATAAATTAATCAGCGCAAAAAACGGTGTTGCGGTTTTATATTTTGATTTTAGCTTCGGAAAATTCTGTCGGTTATTCGACCTCGTTCAATATAAGCCTAAGCGACCATTTCATATGCTGTTAAATTTTCACTTCTATGAAGCCCAATAGATTGAACGCTTTACTAAATCATTTGGCTTGGGTTCATAATTTCAAAAAATTTCTTAGTAAAATACCCGGATAAGCTGTGAAGATGTTCAAACTTGCCGCCTTGTTCTTCCTCGTCGATGCGGTGTTGTATATCCACTAATCCTTCATTCACGGTGGTAGTGAAACACTTCTTAAGTGCACCACAAAAATGGACTTACCAAAGTCAAAAGATAGCGGTATTCTGCACTTTTGCGAAATTCGGTCATACGCTGTCATGGAAGTGTCCTCCTATGGAAATAAAATGTCCATGAGTAAAATGTATCCTCAAGGATTCAAAAAGTGTTGTATATCCACTAATCCTTCATTCACGGTGGTAGTGAAACACTTCTTAAGTGCACCACAAAAATGGACTTACCAAAGTCAAAAGATAGCGGTATTCTGCACTTTTGCGAAATTCGGTCATACGCTGTCATGGAAGTGTCCTCCTATGGAAATAAAATGTCCATGAGTAAAATGTATCCTCAAGGGATTCAAAAAAACGGATGTGTATTTAAACGGATAAAGTAGACGTTACGTATATCGGACCATAGCTAAACTCGATCGACTTTCGTTCAGATGTGGCCCTTGAGTAGAATTTACGACAGTGTTCAGGCAAGTTTTATCTGGAAATTTTAAATGTGTTGAAACACTTGTTCAAAATCAGTGTTGGTCAGAAAAGTATGGCACACACGCTGTGATGCGCTGACCGTAATATCAGTGGGTATTATGTGTGTCTGTCAGATGTATCTACGCTTCTGACCTAGACAGTGAAAGAATTTGCCTGAAGAAAAGGTCCCTAAATGCTCAAGGTTTGCTGCTGTAGAATTCTGCACGCAGCATACCAGGGCTTTTGAAAAGATTAGAGATTGGTGAGGCATTCAAATCAAATCATGGGGTAAAGCTAGAAAGGGAGGTTGGATGGTATCCTACAGACCTAGCCATCAGTTCAATTTTACTACAACATCTGCAATTGAAAATAGACAGAAAATGTTATCTGGTAACTTTATTCATTGTCAGCATGAAAGAAACTCAGTAGCTGCCAAGTATGTTTGGGGCAAGAGAGCAAATATAGTAGATATGAAAAGTAAACAGAAACTGATCTGCAAAAAAATCCATCTCAAATGAACGACAAAATGAAATGCCTACAGGCTGGAAATGAGTAGTTCTTATTTTAACTTTTCAGGCGTGAATGTTTGATACGCATGTGTGAGTCTCATCTAAACATGTGAAACATTTCCGTGCCTCTAGTGCTTCTCAACACTACATTTTAGAACAAAATTAGAGACTAAGATGAAAAGATCCCTGAAATTGTTGAATACGAAAAATAGTAGGAAATATTAGACAGATAGATTCTGCTGTGAACCTGACATCAATACATAATTATTGGTATGTTCACTGAGCACGGTTACTATTTTAAAGACTTTCATTTATCAGCTGACATCGTCAGGGACGGTTGAGTGGGCTGACATGCGATTGGAAGTTTGCAATCCATTTACCAAATTCGGTGAACAGATCGATAAACAAACAATATCTCGTGTAAAAAGGAATCATGCTTTCACTAGTAGGCTCTTTTTATGGTCACCGTGACGCTTTTTCAAGTCAGTATTCAACTGTCAACTGATGGGCGCACTAATAATTATAATATTGGTTTTACAGACTCTCAGATTGGGGAACTAAGGCGTCGTTGAAACGTTTCAAAGGTTCACTTTTAAAAAGTGATATATGACATTGGATGCTGCTTCATCTACCTGTAACATTTCACAAGAAGTCCCATTAGAGTACTTCCCCGCAAGTTCCGCTGATATGAACTGCATCAGTGAAGCAACATTATATTGGCTGTTGGTCAGGCGACCGTTGATTTATTCCCCAAGCTTGTTAACTGGTCGGAACACTTCCGTCAAGTCAATTGCGAAGCTGGATGAGTGGATCAGCCGCCATCTGAACAACTACCGATGGATAATCCTGGGCTTCTACCAACTCAACAAAGTCCATTCCAAGTGCAGCTTGATCAACTATTGAAAGGTGATCCTAAGACGTTTATTGGAAAGACTGTTTGTTCGAGATTCTTTAGAGGTATGATTGCGAAAGATGGCTTACAACTATACCAATTTTTTCCGATGAGCAGGGATTTAATGGTGATGCTGACATAGTTGGGAAAATTTCCATTTAATTTCAGAAGATCCGGTTGTGCTTACCCAATTGGCGAGTTTACGTAATCCGGCTTCCTAAAACAACTCAGTCTTGGAATCGCCTGTTGTACTCCATCCAAAGAACGTCGTTCAAAAAAGCGCACTGATTTTTTGTTGAACTCCACATTTAACGGGTCGCCTTACCGTAGACTTACACTTGAAATGTCAGATTTCACTTGAATATTTTTGGTGAGCTTAACCGCTGCTACACCAGCTTAATTTATGCACAATCATGTTTTCAGTTACGGCTTAGTGACGTCTTATGTCCGCCTTATGTCTGCCTTATGTACAGGCTCTTTTCATTGTACAGATCTGACGAAAAAAGCAGTGGAGGAAGTTTAAAGGGCTACTATAGAACTTACGGAAATTATTGGACAGTTGTTCCGTAACTGTGATGAAGCAAAGTAGTTTGATGTTTGCAGACGGATGTTCAGGGGTGGAGGTATCATGTGGAAAATCAGCGGCGAATTGTTGTCTTCTTTGATATCACAGTAGCCGTACGAGTCTGGGTATGCGCGGCAGGCGGGCGTCGTGACTTCCGTCCAAGTGCAGTAAGGTGTCGGCGGTAATTTTCTAGAACAAAATAGGTTTGGCGGAAAGTGTTAAAAAGGCCTTTGGTTGCCATTCAAAACAATCCCACTGAAGAATGCTCATGTGGAAAAAAGTAAAAATGTGTGGTTTTGCAGGGAGGTGCGCCTCCGTGAGAAGACCCCTAACCAAAAACGTTTAACACCGTGAAATGCATCTGAGGAACATCAACAGTATTCACTCTTCTCATTTAGATTGCAAACTGTCGAAAAGTCTACGCTTGTAGGATGGGGAGTAACAACTTTGTGAAACATTTGGAGGTGACTTATTGCAGCATTCGGTAGTGTGCCGATCCTACTCGATACTTCTCGGTATCACCTCATCCTCATATTTGTTTCACCATAGAAATGTGTGGACTAAAGCCGCTTTTGCTTAACAATCAGGTCCATGAGAGCCGTTCTAACCCGGTGCGTTAGTAGTGATTTTGTGTCCAGGCTGCTCCAATAGAATGTTTCGGTTAAGTTTGCGAAATTTTAGGGGACGCTGGAGCAAGCACGTTTGTTAATGTTATCAAGACGTTTCATTCGAGGATGAAGGCTACTGTTGCAGCTTGTGGAACCAAGTCTCCAGATATTTCAACGTTGAAAATTTGTGGCACCGTATTTCTCCAGCTGGCTCATAAAATGACTTGGCTGCTCAAGGTCGCGAACTGGTGGACTTCTCGAAATGCTTAGCATCAAGTAAATGCTACGTGACTTCAAATTAGGTACGTTATTTTTCCTGACGCGTGTGTTTCTCACAGTTTTGTAAAGTAAAATCGTAGGAGTTAGCGTCATCAAAAAAGCATGCAGTATTCCACTTTGGCTTAAAGACAAGTGTCGTTAGAAAAATGTGTCTATCAATCAAATCGTGGGAGGCACACAATCTTTCCAGACGTAGGGATAGACCGTGGGATTGTGTTTGCTACCTCCGCAGCTTTCTGCCACCGACCAAAAAGAAACAAGGTTAGCTGCGCGGGATATGAAGGAATAATTTGCGTTCAGAAAATTTTATTACTTGGTTTTGGTAATCACAGAAAGCAAACGGATTCAAAATTCATGCTATTCTACTGTGTACAGTATCGTATATCACGAATTCGGAGACGGCACACACACAGCCTACACGATTCTTCAATTAATTTTGTCGACAATGTTTAAAGTAGCACCTGCGAAGTAGAGTGGACCTTGAATAGTGAAATTCTTTGTAGACAACTTGGGAGACGTGTAACAGAAGCCACACCAGTAAAGTTGTAGGGAATCGCAACTTGCGAGCGTATATGCATGAAGGGATTGGACTTGTTCGACATCAGCGCTTTCTCGGCACGTCGGGACTTGTACAAGTGCTTTGCTCCATTTCCAATAGACAAAACTTTAAACGTGATAAACGCGTACCACGTATTTATTAATGAGGATCAGAATTATTCCTCCCTTAGTCAGTTACTAGTTGGCATAACTATCCGGCATTTTCCAACGGAAGTGCTGTGATAGCGAAGCTCAGAGGAATGGGCGAGTGTTAGAGGACTTCACTGCTTTATACGGGATCAGTGTTCATTGTGTGATGACTCACAATAGATCTCTGCAAGGTCAGTTGTCGATTACATTCCTTGGAATAGGATCGGGTCAACGGGCTCAGCCGCACATGAACCCTAAAGTGGACAGGAAACTTTTGTGCTATCATAAGCGTACAGCATATAGCCAGGTGAATTTGGACGGAACTTTGGCAAAACTAAATAATGAAAAGCGCAATGAGGAGCGGAAATTACGTCTATTACGGTTCATCTCAGATTTTATGATGCATTACGCAGCAATGCCTGCATTGAAAAAGCAATACCTGCACTTCTAAGCATTTTTCTGCTTAAACTTGAAATTATAGAAGTCAATTTTATGAAACCATCCACAGAAATAGTTGCGTCATGGAAATCACATGACGAGGTGCAACAGTTTGGCTGCCTTACGGTACGCTTGGCTTAATTGTTCTGTCCTACTTTGGGAAATCAGGGCAGGGTATGCAGCCTCTCCTATATCGAAAATATCTGATGGCATCACCAGTGCGTGCAAATTTTATCTTCCACCTATTTTGAATAGTTGGGTACTAGCTGAGCCATAAAGCCCTCCTTTGGTTGGCTCATTTACGGAGCGCAATACTATATATTTACCGAGTTTTTCAATGTGTAAGCAAGAGTTTATTTACAAATGAATCCTTATTACCATCAGTGGAAGCAACGTAAATCTTCACGCAAATGCTTTCCTGCTGTGCAACCGAAAGTTTATCTAATCACATTTAAAGTCTTAAAATGAAAAGAAGGAGAAAAAGCAAGTGAGGGTAAGGACATGATGCTGGCGTATCGCAAGACTTTGGAGGTACCTACACTCCCAGGGGCCCAAGTAGACAATCTGGAAAGAAACGTTCGGCACAAAAGCCGCTAATATCGACCAGCCGTCGTTACGTACATTTTGTCCAACCAAGCGCTATGGCTTACTCGGACGCCATAATGGTAAATGGAACACGCCTGCAACACCCGAGTGTTTTGAAATCTCTTTCACATCATTCTGCTATGGCACATGTCGCCAACCACGTGGGTTGGGCATTTCTATAGGAGAAACGGTATGTATACCACATGATAGACATACTGCAGTGGATGGTGATGAATGTTCATTGCGACTAAAGTACCCGCAGCACAAACAAATAATAATTTTCTAGCTACTTCGGTACGAATTCCTGGATATCATCCAAACCTAGCAAAGTTTCAGAGGTATCGGCTGTCGAAAATCTAAAAACGACTTGTATCGTTTGTCCGCAGGAGTCATGTCCTAACCATAAAATAACATAAACATTAATATAGGCTGGTACACGCGAGACCATTCGCGACGTTACATGTGACGCAAAATGAAAATTGTTTTATGTATTTGCGATTCTTGCACAGGCTTCTTCAGACATGCTTCCATGAGAGCTAATACAACTACCGAGTTATGCGAATGTCTCCATAATATTCAGTGGTGCTCCCCAAATCTTAATTAGTGTGCTTAAATCTGTACGTTATGCAGCATGAATTCGCACTTTGATGTTGCAAGGTACGTGCCGAAAGATGCTACAATCGTGGTCAGTTTTCAGGATGACTTGTGCTTTGCCTTTATCTTAAAAGGTTATGGCGTTATGTGTATTCCAGATCGACCATGTCTTCACCAGCAGCGGAGTGAACACCGGGATTTCTAGTAATTTCCAGCGTTCACTTGTATATTCCATCGACGATGAAGTCAAAAATAAACGGAGGGAGCAACCCTATCAGACAATAAACTGTGTGGAAGCTTTATTTCTTTCGGCATGAACTCTCACGTGTTCAGGTGTATGTGGATATCGCGACCGGATTATTATTGTAAACTTCTTGGGGCTTGTTCTCTTGAGCAAAGGTGTTTAAAACGATAACCGATCGACGGAATGGAGCGCAACTGTGAAGTCAAGGAATACTAAGATAACTGGTCTTCTGTACATAATACCTGATGGAGGGTGAAAAATGTGGTTGACGCAGTGTCTACTCGACCATTAATTTCGCTTGATGCTCGCCGGTCGAAATTTCGTAACAGTCTGACAACAAAGAACGAGTGACCTTAGAAGCCTTGTAACTACAGGGGTCAAGGTGACACACTTGTGGTCACTAAATTTGCATTCGTAAAGATGGACGCTAATATCGGTCCACCTCAATTGTCTGGGACGGTCCCTTTATTCCACTTAAACGCTAGACAAAACGTGACTAAAGAATTCACCACCGCCCTGAAGCTAAGCAGGTAGAAGGCCTTCAGAACTAGCAGCTCCATAGCGCTTGAGGAGAGGTTGACGGGGCTCCGTATTCTTAGTTAAACTTTTTCCTGGAGTCCGGCAGTTCGTCCACAGGCTGAAGGTGGAAGAAGAACAAAAATACCTATCCCGCAAAACCCCGAAACTGCAACCAAAAAGTTGCCCAGTGGGTTTCAAGTGTGTTACGCTACCTGACTGAGACGTCCTGGCTGGCGAGTCAATCGATCGTCACAACCAGGACAGTTACTGAGTCGTCGTTCGATGGGTTGGGCACCCCAATCACGTCGCTTAAGTGTGAACACGTTCGCCTGTTCAGACGTAGAAATTCAGATGCATCCAACGTGCGTTGATGGAGTAGTGGTTACACGCTCGCTTCGCATGTCAGGTGTCTGGAGTTCAAGTCCCGACACGGCAGTTGGATATGCAATGCTGCTGAGCACCAATGGGAGCGAAGCTCGAGTCCAGTGCTTCCATTTGATGTGGATTCTCCGGAACAATCACGCCACAATGGGAGGACGGCCATTCAAACGATGCCCAATTCTTCCAGCGTTCCTTCTTCGGATATCAGGGATCAATTTCGGTCTCTCATTTTTGTTGTGACAAGAGGCTTCCGAGGTCCAGATGTGCGAGTCCAGTGGAACTATCCGCGGAATTTTCCACTTTTCCATCTTCAGTTTTGCCCCAATCCTATCCAACAAGCTTTTCAATCTACACGGGCTCTCATTTTCACATGATGCCGAGTGTTTTGTCGGGCCATGTTTCTATTCCGAACAGTAAGGCTGCATTCTTACCAGAGATCCAACGTATTGATGAGTTTGAGTTGTGTGGCTGACAGAGGCTTCGGATCTGTTTTCGGAATACTGTTCCAAGTGACAGTTAGTATATGGCATCGGACAATCCGGCAGGTATTTGTAGATTCCGTTCTGAGAGGGTAGTGTGATTTCCAAGTCCCCCAGCAGACGCGGGCAAGTGTATGTTGACGTCGACGCAGGTAATGCAGAAGGAGAAATATGTGGTTACCAACCCTCACCACCGGTAACTAACGACAATGTGGTTTATCATGTTTCGGGGCTGGTTTGTTGGTTTGCACCTCCAAATATCAAGTCCCGCAATATCGACATGCGTTATTTTGTTCAAATAGTCTACGTATTCATCAGCAGTTAGACAATCACCTGAGTATGCCAACGGACAAACTGAGTTTACAAGGTGGTCAAGCTGCTTGTCAGTATTGCGGTGCGGAGGTTAGAAACCTGAGTAAACCAAGCGATGTATACCTTGTCCTCTCCAAACAGGATCTCAGTAAGTACAAAAGCACTCGTGTGGTTGAGATAACTGAGGTTCGGGAACAAGTTTAGGCAAAAATTCATAAAAATACTGAAAGTGGCTGTGAAAACAAAGTTGGAAACACGTTGATTGCACCTGCATTCATTATGTAAAAATTAGCACGTTTTATCGTTGCGCCCTTTAATTCCCAGCTCTAGGACGACTATGCTCCCTGCAACTTATGGCAGATGGGGTTCTAAAAGGTCAAAAATATTATTTATTTGGTAAATTTTTTTACCTCAAATAGATCAGCGTGGAACTCACAGGCTTTTTTGAATGTTTGTGTACTCAAAACAGGATTTGTTGAAAAAGTCTTCACCCTTGCCTTTTCCCCAAGTCCCGGCAAATTCGTGCGCGTCTGAGATTTCGTACCAGCTTCAAAAGAGTGACATTAAGTACAAGAACAATAAAATATTGAAGGGATAAATTGTTTATTAAAATTTTTAGGTTGGAAGCTCGGAATTTTTTCCTGTGGTATTTCGACATTCAAAATTTTGCAATCCAGACAAAAAGCCCTGGAGCAGATGAGATGATCATCTAGAACGAGGCCCCAATATGAATAAAAGACACTTTTAATTAATAAGAAATCACGTAGGACTTAAACGAAATGGGCTGTTACAGTGAGAATTTTTTAAATGATGGCTTGAATCTAATTCTCAACTCAATTATAGGTGTCCTTTTAAGTTACGTTAAACCTACTGAAACTTCAAGTTGAGCGGATCTCTTGACTTTTAAATTCGATCTCACAAGTACGTTTGATTCTTTTTTTGCCGTAGATTCTGTCGTCTAAGTTGAAATCACTCACACTGAAAAGGCGGAATCCACTGTGTAACTGTTTCGACCTTATTGGAGATAATCGGCACCGTGCATCTTACGAGACTCCAGAGGGACTTGAAACCACCGACTTCCTGCCTACAAGTTTGAACCTTTAACGTGTGGCTCGGGACTGAACTGTTAAGAGTTGACCGTTGAAAGAATGATTTTTCAGACACTTGCACTAGTAGGAATACGACAAATAGGGATAATATTTTTTGCGGGTGTCACATTTTGTAGTATCCCAGGAAAATGGTGGCTGTAGGAACGTTTAGCAAAAATTCGCCGTCAAACAATTAGGGACTAGGTTGCTTTGCATGTAAATTTCACGGCAAATGCTTACAGCAGTTTCCTGCATCGGAATTATGGTTTACCAGATGGTAGCAGTGGCTATGTAACGCCTTTGTGGCCCGTTCAGTTGGCCAAATTTTGAAGTCAAATGACTATCTGATAAGAGACATACTTGGCATGAATGGTTGGGTGGGAAACAACGGAATCAATGAACGTAAAATTCTGATTGGAATGGAGAGGTGCTGTGCATAAAGAATACAGCGGTGTACAAAACTGCGAAATATGGCAGTCTGTGGCCTGCAGTTTGCTTCGTTCCATTACAGTTCCTTCAGATCCTGCACTGGGAAGGGTTCCTCGTTGTTCTATAGAAAGGGCTTATTATACTATCATTCCAGTAAGGTGGTGCATAATTGAAGTATGTCAGATCAAAGATTCCTCAAAGATAATTCAGCACTAGAAACCGAAAAATTCACGGCAGTGGTCTGAACGTTATAATATCACTTCGTTGGCGTGAGTTTAACGCGGCGTTATTTGGAATGAAAGACAAATAATACTCACCCTGAGTCGTACATATATGCCAAGCTGAATCCTGTTATTCCAGTCACCGTGTCCGTTCCAGAGCTCATGACATCATGCTTTGAGGGAACAAAACAGTGAAATAAATAGATCATACCAGTCTTCGGTTATCTGCCTGGAGTGAAGGCGCGGAAATACGTTAATTCAGTTTTCACAGATCTGAAAGTCTGCTGAGTCTATTTTAACACCAGGTGAGAGACAACCACATGTTGACTAACACGTCCTCTGAACCCATGATCATCGCTCTCATAGAAGGGCACTAGTAGTTATCGTACTTCTTTGGAGGAAGTTGTAAAACCCATTTCCAGCAAACGACAAGGTGATATTGTAACAATCATCGTTTGTTTTTCGCGAATCAGGGCACGCGAACTCACTCTGCCATTTTTCAGAAATCTTGCCTTAATCTAAATGCAGCTATTCCTAAAACAATATAAATTCATCTATGCAGCTTAGCAATCCGAATTTTTCACTTGTCCCCTCTCAGTATGCGCATACTGATGAATTCACAGAACCCACAGCAAGTATCATAAAACAGGCAGATATCTGATGCGTCTGCAAAGCGCTATTATGAAAGGGGCTGCGTAGCTTGGTGACCAAAACAGCGCTGCATTTATTTTGATTACCCGAAATCATTTGTTCATGAGCGTCTTAGTTTTGGCACCGGATATTCATCATGATAATATGCAGCACGGTCTTAAAAACTAATATGGGGAGATTGGGTTGAATTTACGGAACCGCTTATGCTATGTCAACTGGTGCACGACGATACGTACTTAAGACGAGGAAGAAGATGCAGAAAATTTCCTCAAAACAGCTCCTCATGATCCCTGTGTCTTCCTGTCGTCATGTTTTATTGTTGGAGTAGACAAGATTGATTCAGGTAGCAAGGTCACCAAATAAAATAAATCTGGATGATCATACTAAGTAATAATTTTAACAGAAATCAGGTGATGGCAAAACACTTTTCATACTTTGCAGCACTAAGGTGGAACTGAAAATGTGTTTAGTACGACAATCTGTAGACCGCCCGTCTGGGCAAACGTTACTGTTTATAGACAAAAAAATCTCAATTACTGCTGGTACACTGACTTGGGTATCTGTCTTTTCCGCAGTGTTGTGCCACCAATGCTAGTCTACTTCAACCGGATAATACCTTAAACTGTGCTTCCTTCCATTGATTATTTCATGACCGGTCCCCCGATCAGAATCTGGTGTAAGAAAAAAATAACTTCATGCAAACTATATTAAAGGAAAGATAAGGGGAGAAGAATTGCATCACAATATGACTAACTTACCGAAACAAATCGGCTGTCAAAATATTGTTCCATGACACCCAACGTCCCTTCATCTTCCAGCGGGATCCCCTCTAACTGAGGATAGGCAAAGTATTTTCTAGCATATTCCTGGAAAAAAGTGAAAAAAGTTAGCCAGTGAATCAGAGGTGGTGCACATATTCCTCGATTTGTAAAGAAACCATATGAGGAATTTCCATTCAACTGGACTATGTGGCCCATTTTACACTCCCACGATAATAGTTTACCTCTGTGCTTGTGGGAAGAGCAGTCATTCTTATATTGAAAAAGAATTTCCTTCCCTTTCTGACATTATCGAAATATATTAAGGGTGATAAATTACCGTAGTAAAATTTCCCTATATTTCCATACCGTTCTCCAGACATAGGTGGAAATCTCTGAACGTAGCGTTTGGTAAAGATTTAATTTAGCAATTATGAGAAGCACTATACGACTTTTCCATTTTTGTTTGGAACCATCGGTTTGCATGCGAAGAATCTCCTGGAGGACTTAAAACTGCAAACTTTTGCTTACTGATGTATTATAATTTCATTGGGCTCCCAGTACCGAAAGTTATATCGTTCAAGGTACATATGATTCCATTATTCAATAAGAGGACATGAGAATCTTATTCGCTTATTGCTCAAAGTTGAATTTATTTCCGTTCAATCAAACTCGTCTACCATTAAAATTGCGTGCTTTTTAGACCTCCCTTTTTGTACGCCTAGGGCCTTGAATCTACGTTTGTTGACCCATTGGTAACTTTTGAACTCACCGAAGCAGCTTATATTCCATAGCAAACTGCACTATCACGCTCGCCTAAGCACAGTTGAGCTATGAAAACACAGGAAAGGAATATGAAATCCACAGAAACAAGATCCGTATGATGCCTGGTGGTAAGGTACCGACTCTTGTGATCATTCACTCCGAATCGCTGTGAAACCATGCAGTTATTTGGATTGGAGATGATACAGTCTTTTATGTCAATATAGGGCGGCAATATGTGCACTGCCCCAAAGAGTTCTCCGCCAGATTCAGGTCGGATATTGTGATGTATAATGTGGAAAGTTTCAAGTTAAAACACAGTGTGGTTGAGTGTCACAACTGCAGGCGCATCCCAATCGAAGTACACAAGCAATCACGTGCACAGGCACAATGCTAACACCCACTCGCACAAGTCTATTTTGACTGCCAAGTGATCTCAAGAACGCATCAATCAGAAGACATGATTGCGGACCCAAATAATGCTGCATTTGGTTTGTGTTCAATTGACTGTAGAAAGCCTTGGAAAAAAGTTACTCACGGCAAAAGAAACGACGGATTAAAATATCCGCGTTCATTTCGCTGTGTTTTGGCTATGAACATTCCATGAAATCGTGTGAAATGAGTGGATATATTCGTGGATGATCCTTGTATCACCGAGCCTTTCACTTGACTTGCGGATATTAGGCCGAAGCTGTGTGTTCTCACATAGGTAGAAAGGCCTAGGCAGAGTTTTACGATTGGTCATATGAATGCTCCTGGAATCGTTATCCAGTATAAGTATTTGGAGTCACCTGAACTAAATTAGCAATTCGTTTGTCTTGTGTCTATCAGAGGACGTATTCAGTGCTTTCCTATTTAAGATAAAGGTCATTATGAATCCAACGTAACTTGACACCTCATATTTATCTTGCAGTATCAGAACGATGAAGAGAAAAACAAGTATAATCTCGCGTAGTTTTGTGAGGCGCGTTGACGCAATGCTCCCTGGACATCATTCCTAACCCCCTTACTCTGGTGTGTTTTTTCAACGTTTAAAAATTATGAGGAACTAGAAAGGTTCCATTTTTTGGTCACATTTCTTTTCTGTAGGCTTGGTAATCAAGCATCTATTCAGACTCTGCCTACAAATCTGACTTCAACTACAGAAACTTGGCTTGCACAACGTTGACTTTATATCGTAACGATGGGATCTGGTCACGAAGCACTTGATTGGAAAAATGGTTTTGATCAGGGAGAATGAGGAACCAGCCATTTTAGTGAGGGAACGTTTATGAGAATTTTTGTCTTAGATTAGATACTAATGAGCCAACTGGTGTGTTACACAAAAGTAAGCGTGAGGAGTTCATTGCTTACGGTGAGCAGAATACTATGATAGTTTTGATGGTCGTATGGTCTGGAAATACGCAAAGTATGCGAGTTCAAAAGTGCTGGCGAATTCGGTTAAACTTACCACTAATGTCGGTAGTGCCAAAAATAGGTATGAATTTTCAACGCGGTCAACCACCATGGAGCTGCTCATTGACTTGTAGAATAGGTATGATGAGCTAAAAATAATTAAAAAATTGGCAGTATAAAATTCATTATCATTCCATTACGTATGCTACTTCCGGAACTTATACCTATCCAAATGACGAACCTATGTTTATCACATTGAGCGGAAAGGACCCTCAGGACACAGCGAAGAAAGCTCTCCTACCCCATATGTCGAAATAATTAGTAGCAAAAACAATGTAATTCTATCATAAAAATAAAGCCATCAGGAATTTAAGACACAAACGTTTGTCACTTGATCTGAAGAAATGTCCAAGTGCTTTTGGACGTTGGATTATTTTCACGCAAATTCCATTCCCCTATCGGTAGTGCTTCCATAGAGCAAAGTTTGAAGAGAATAGCACATTTAAGCTACTCTATCTGGTGGGAACGTTAACAGGAGAGAGTTGATAGTGGTAAATACCCCGAGATCCTCTAGATGAACGTCGTCTCAAGAGAAAGAAGTATGGGATTGGAGTGGAAAATCGTGAATAAAGTTGCACGAAATCTACATATGTTTGGTCATGTTGACCACGTAGTCTGAATTCTGAGGTCAACCGCCGGTCGCACTACACAACAGATGAAATAAACAGTCAATTGTGGCCTGCATCCTGTTTAGTGGCTTGCTGGTCAGATTAATGCAATAAATTAAACGGTCAACAGTCAAGGTCAATCTGATGGCATCAGATACCAATTAACATTAATCAGCTCATTATACGATGGCTTTTTCCATGACTGGATATAAGGTTGTCTCGTTGACCAAGTATTGCGTGTTCCACATGGGGACTAAAAATTTGCGCTACCAATGGAAGACCAGTGCTAGAATTTTTACGGTAACTTGCAAGTCATCTAAAAGTAAACGATACATATTCCCCTGTTTGCAGCCCTGAACTGATTAGGGTGTACATATTTCCAGAGCGGTGGAGCAAAGAAGACCTATAACCCTGATGAATCTCTTACAGTTATTGCATTTTTTATTGCAGACAAGGATTTCAGCGAGAATGTCTGCTATTGTCAATCAAAGTTCGACAAAAATAGTGTTAATAATGGTACACAGCGCTGTAATAAAGGGTAGCAAGACGATTTATGGTAAAATCTATCACACCTAACTATATGGTGACCAGAATAGATGAATAGTATTACCATTTGTCCCAAAAATTAACCAAAATCTCAGATTGTTTCTCTTCAACTTTGTTAACATACAGTTGTTCTCAGGTGACTAGCGTAAATCTGTCTACGTCTCTAAAGGTGTACCGCGATAATACTATTGCTTGCTGTCACATGGGTTAGAAATGCTCCCGTACGAAAGCTGTTGTGACTAACGCTGAGTACATTTCATTAAACGCACTAATTACCCCACCTGTTTACTTATGTATCTATGTGAAAAACTTTCGCTAATGTGGGGAAGGAATCCCCCCACAGCAGCATCTTTTCACTAATGTGATTGAATTCATTTGGGGTCTACGCAGGTGAACTCTGGTAGACGGCCATTGCATTATTTTGTCTGCTTACATTGTAACTCTTCATCAATGTACGGTGCAGCTTATGAAAGAAGTTTGGTTTTTTAAGACAAGAGTTTTCTTCCAAAAACGCTGTATCAGCTCATCAAATTAAACCTAAGTTCTGTCCTAAACGCCCGCAGAATGTTTGATGTGTTACAATGGTTTGAAATAAAGCAAAAGTATAAAAGCATAGCAACTTGCCATTTCGCCTTATGTCTAACTTCATGAGCACAACTAGGTTTCTGTTCAGCATAAAGCAATACGCCTACCGCTTGTGGAATATTGCTGTGTTGCGGAGAGCCAACTCTCACCTTGGTGTATAGATTCCAAATGCATCCTGTCCATTATTGGGGAGATTGGTGGAAAGGTTTCTTGATGTCCTTGGTTCACCATTTTCATCTCTAAGGAACGCAAATGCCTTTTTGTTGAAACCCTGAAAAGCACAGTTTTTGAAAAACGTCTCATGTTCCAGGAGGAACAAAAAACTAGATAAAAGAGCCAAATGGTGCAAAACTGTATATTAACTTAGGGTATTTCTGTTTATTCTACGCCATCCTATCAATATATAGTTCAAGCTTACTATTGAAGTCAAGCGAACCACAGCTGCGCAGAGGACTACATTGAATTTGACAAGAAGTTTAAAGTTTGCAATGAAATGTAAACAGTAGGCGCGTAGAAAAATTTTATGAAACCGTGGCTTTAATTCAAAGACTTAAGCAGCTACGAGAAAAGACAACATTAGTGAGTATACTCTCCAAATATTAGAGAGACAAATTTTCTTTCTTTTATGTCATGTTCCTTACAGTAGCGGTTTCACAATTTAACGGAAGTCACAACGAACAGGGGGATTTTCTGTTAGTCCCTGTATTACCACCCGGTTTCAAAAGTGTAAATTTTGTCCCAAATTTTGTAAAATTTGTTAAGCGAAATAATTGCCGAATTTCCTTGAATTGGAAAAATACCAAGACAAAGCTTCCTTAATGTGAGTATGGCAGTACAGTGAGGCCAAATTTATGTATTATGACGTAACTAAAGAGAGAACACTATTCCCAGTTAATATTAAACGAAATGTGTTGCATTTCAGAAGTTGAATAAAGTAATGCCGCTCGCAAAACAGTATGTGCGTGATTCGCAAAGGTTATCTGGCAGGCTGCATATGGCAGACCCCTGTAGAGAGAATTAGAGTAGACAATAAAGTGGTCCGCAACGAATCATCATCATCATCACCATCGACAGCATGATATCAGTGTTCAGCACCGATGTTTCACCGGATGTCACCGTGGTGATTGAAGGTGGTCAGACTGACCTAACGACACTTGCGCTCGGACCATCTGCAGCTCCATAGTCTACTCTGGGACACGTTGGACCACGTTACTATCGCAACGGTAGAAGCACAAGACCAAGTCCTGAAAATCGCGTAGCCCCCATTCCAAACAGATCACCTTCAGCTCACCAGAAAACACCATCCCGTGTGCTAGAACTTGGTTGGCGTGCTACTTCTGTCTATCGACCACCAGTCGGAATATGTTTTGAAGTTATCCATGCACCAAGCCGTGTTCCGTTCCATCGCCTCCCGTCACCTTAATTGATCACGCTGCGTAAGGTTCCGGTATGCCTCGACTACCAGCGGGCATTTCTAGGACGAAAACATTTGCTTCAACCCTCAGACTTACTTCCATCTGTAACAGCCCATAATGAACTTGGGGAAGACATTGTTATCGATGATATACAGTTTGGATTCTGAGGTGCGTACTGACTATCGTCGTAGCTCACTGCAGTCAAGAACACACGCTATTCAGGGAGAACACTATTTGTGGCAGTCGGTTTGGTTGAATCCCCTAACTCCACTAATCCAGCCACTTTCCGCTACGGAAGTAAAACATCGCCTAGAGGAGCAAAAATTACCATGCGAAGGAGCTTTCAAGTATTTTTGTTGGCAACGGTGATTCCCATGTCACTTTTGGAGATGGATCCATCAACTCGGTTTTGAATCTGAACTGTTGTGTTTTTATGCAGCCGACAGTTTCTCCCGGACAATTTCTCCTGGCTGAATCGGGTACCGTTTCTCAAACCTTGTCAGTCGAGACCCTGAGTAGAAAGGATTACGTTGAGTCAACCGGACAACCAGATGTGAAAAATTCAGTGGCTTCGGCTTCTGCGAGCTTCGCGTTAACATTGGCATTCGGTAATTTTCCGGCACCTGGAGCAGAGAATGCGGCCTTTTCGCTCCGTCAGTCAATGGATCCGACTCAAGCTATATCGGCCAACCTAAACCATAGAGTGGATAAATAATCCACTGTTGTATCCGATAAAAATGAAGATCAAAGTGGCATTTTGAGGAGTCCGAATGGTCCCATAATATCGATGGTGACTTTGGGTGATGGTACTGTCGCTTCACCATTGCCAGTCGTTCCCGTGGTAATGGGTATTGCAGCGAAAATCAAAGGACCCGTGTTACAGGGTCTCGAATGATTCAATCCACTCGGATCTGGCTCATTTACGTGTGGAGCGGGAGAAGCATTTTCCGAAGCTTTGACGCTCTCAACATACCCATACTCTCAACACGGGCAGTGCTTCTTGGACAGTGCTGGTAGCAATACTCAGGCGTCTACTCGCCAATCCTCTGGTCATGCAGACATCTAGGCTACCGAAAAGCATCTGTCGGGCTCTCCGAACGGTTCAGAGACAGATGCACCAACGGTCTTCGATGCCATAATGACAGAGAATGACGTTTTAAACGAAAGACGTGAACATCTGAAGCACCGACTCGTGCAGTCTCGATTTCCTCCTTGGGACCGAAAACCGGATTCCGTTGTCGTTCTGCCCCCTGGCGTCTTCGCTGTCTGACTGTGAGGAACTGACTTATCCGCCAGAAAACCTCCAAGGATTTGTGGGGGAAAAGTCAAGGTCAGGACCGCATTTCGATTGGCTATCCACTTATCATCCCCTACGGAGTACGTATGTTCCACAGATTGGAGACATGACTATCTATGTTATACGTGGACACCAAAAATATAAACGTCAGGCATGATAAACTGCTCAGGTTCCACAACCAGACACTACGTTGTGTTGCTTCAGCTGTTCAAGTAAAAGTTTTTCAAGTGCCTACTCGCCAGAACTTCCCTGGGACATCTGGCCTCGTAGTCTGGACTACGTTTGTGGTGAAGTTCAGTCAATTTTCTTCACGGTTGTATGCATTACAACCAGTTCTGAATGTCATCTTAACCGTCATCATGGAAATCATCATAAGTCACCTGGCTGGTGTAGACAACAGCGTGCGCCTGGAGCCACTCATATTCAAGCGTCAGATAAGCACACTCAGTCACATTTTTTGAGTTGTAGCAGCGATTCGAGAGTTTTATGCGCCCGGTGACGTTACATGTCGAACTAGAATCAGAACAACCTCATGCTTACCTCGGTTCTGCGCGTTCGCCACATTTCACAGGCATGAGGTGGACGGCATATTGGAATTTGTTTTCTTCTACATCTGTTCGACAGCAATGCAGCATCATTGGTGTGAGGCTGACCACTCTGTTTGTCCGGTAGGCACGACATTGGGCACGGATGTATCACAGGTCACGTGACTGAAGAACGGATTCAGTCTGTCACAGAGCCTACGCCTTTCTGTATCAAAACCGAAATAACTCAACCGAATTCGTGGTTATCATTTCTTGTCTGATAGATGCATCCTTCTAAAATCTGTCTGAAGCCGTTTACTGCGCCACCGAGGTTGAACCTGAGTCGACTACGTCAGTCGCTGTTGATCGATCTAATCATTCACCCTACTTTTCCTGATGAAGGCTGGTGAAGGCCAGTGTGGGAGTGTTAAAGAGGCAGAAGAGGCTTCGACTGAACTGGTGGCAACAACTGGTGGCGCGTCCGATTCCATAGTATCTTCAACACCATCCTTATACATCGGGATGGTTGTCAATGAAGAAGTTCCACTGAATTCAGCCAATTCCATCTTGCATAGCGTCATTAAATCTACAGAGTAAGCATCAAGCATTTCCATGTTGAATAGCGATACCTTCGAGCAGTATGGGTGCTTATACGTATCGCGCTGTTCCAGCACCTGACGTGGTGTGAAAATTTGATCAACTCAACCCTTACTAGGCCGCGCTCTTGCTTGCTGCTCTCGAGGCAGTGTTTCACCGGCAACCGTAAGGCGACAAATCACCAGTGACGCCAACAGTCTCGTTACGACTGCAACAAAAGCGCTTTTTTGTTCGAGATACTACAAATACCAGGGTCACTTGGAATTACGCAGTGATCACATACTCCACTGAGAAATCCACTTCTTTAAATGCGTGCCAATTTCATAGAGGTTTCTGTTAACTCAGTGAGGGAAATGAATAATCTGAGATATCAAAGAGTAAGCGCTGATCATTTACTTCGGCAACGGGGTCCGTAAGATCCCGTCAGCTATTTGGAGGGTGGTAAATTACACAAAAAATCCTTAGTTTTCTGGTATTGCAGCATTTTGTTCACATCGATCCCATAAACGATCCTCTACTGCAAGAAAAATACCAAAAAAAAACAGACGACCATCCTGAAACGTGTTTCTCATATATTGTGTTTATTTGTCAGCTAGTAAACGTAACCTTTGGTTATTCAAAGTCACAAGTTATAGTCTACCCTCAAATGCAGTTTTCTACCCAGCGAATCCTGACTAATAACTTAAGCTGATGTCCCAATAATTCACGCGAGCTGTTTGTATCTAAAATGTCTTCACCCTACAAATCAAGTCCACAAAACCGCTGTCGGTTTCTAGTTTTTGCTGCACGAGCTCCGTCGTTGCCGCAGAGAATTTGTGTTGTAGTTGGAGCAGCTGGGTTATCAGTGGATGGCTAGTTAATTTTCTAATATGAGTTTATCGCGCATCTGAAGACAATATATGCTATTTGGCTAAAAGGCACTTTTCATCTTCTCTGTCCCTCTTGGGAATGAGAAGCAGTACCAACCTTACAAACTCGGAGTTGAATTTTTAGACTACCAGACGAAACATCGTAGGTTCTCAACTCCCTTGAATTTTATGAGAGGCGCACGGCTGGTTATTTCCAAAAAAGATAAAAGAAATCTATAACCTTTCTAGGCTTTCAGAAGGGTTTAGCATCATTGTACGGACGAAATCTCAACTGAAGGCTACTAAATCTGCTAAAACTGCGGTAGGGACAATTTCACTTCCATCTGACAAGTCCTCACTCATGAAGCCAGTCAAAACGTGATCACGTGATGTAGATTTTATGACTGAAGGATATTTGTTCCTGGCGTACGTTAAGTAAATTGCAATTCAGCTGCTCTTGGCCTAACGGCTATTTGTTTGGTCTACTAACCGGGAATCACTGGTTAAAAACACCCCTGTTGATCTTCATCGCCAAGAAAACATCTCTACAGTTTTTCTAGGGTCCTCCGACTAAGCTGACCTCAATTGCTGGACGAAATCCCAACGACGGATGTAATCCAGTGATAAAGATTCTAGGGAACCAGGTAAGCTGATCATTAGACCGCAAATTGACATTCAAAACTAGTATCCATTTGTACATAATTAGTACAAATCGGTATGTACGGGTCAATATGTATTTTCACGAAATTCAGTCCTGTCAGTCTGAGAAGTAAGAAAGAATCCTCATGAATGGATACTATTCATCTCAATTTAGGCCATTTACCGGTGAGCCGAAAGCCCCCTTCAAGAAGCTTTCAAGTTTAAGGTGAGAGTATAGATGACCGGCCTAACAAAGCTTAGGAATAACTGCTTACGCAATACTGTTAGCACCAGTGCCATCGTGGTACTCTTGTCCAAAAGAATAGGCCGACAACAGATGGCCGAAAAAAGCATGTGAATAAGGGTAGCAGAATATCAATTTTGTGCACTGCTGTCATGCTCTCGAATATTTCGATAGTTGAACTGACGATTTGAGGGGATGTTCAACGTATACTTACCAATATCCTGCCTACAGCGCGCAGGATTAAAGCGTTCAGTTTCTCTGCAGATTTCATATATGCATCCGGGCACAATCCGATGTATCCTAGAATGGGTCTGAAATAAGAAAAATGTTTTCTCTTGTCAGGTTGGCAGAGACCTTAGTACACACTCCCCGAAAAACGGGGAGCAACTGATTCACTGAGAGTTGGACGGCGAACCAAGTCAAGCGGAAAGTGCAGAACGGAAAATATTTGACCGCGGATTTATTTCAAGTTTTGGTGGTTGGGTTTGAACTCCACACTTCCGACATGCGAGGCGAGCGTGTTACCACTAGGCATCCAACGCACTCAGCGCACACCCGAATTTTTACATATGAACAGGTGAACTTGTTCGCACTTGGGTGTGTGAGGAAAGTTCGACGCCCGGAGCGACGATCCAGTAACATACATTGGTTGTGTCCGTCGATCGGCCCGCCAGTCAGGGTTTCTCAGTCGGGTAGCCAGAGACATTTGGAACCCGCTGGATACTTTCTGTTCCAGTTGTTGGTAGTTGCGGGATTTTGTAGAAGTCATTGGAGAGTGCATTCTGCAAAATCCCTCAACCATCAACACCTGAGATAAGAAGCCTCCAGAAGGTCTCAAGCGTCTTCGGCGCTACGTGACTGGGAAATACTGACCGGAGAGGTAATAGATCTTCTTATTTTTAACGACGTAGAGTATCATGCATAACGCAGCATCAGGATTGCTGTACTTTCTGGAAACAAAGATAACAGGATACATAATCTGTTCGAATGTGGGCAGTGACGACAAGAAGAGTGGGGTTTTATTCCGAAAGTAACGTAGGTAGGTAGAGAGTCACTCCATATTCGATTCATTCTTATTGGAATATTATAGATGACTATTACAGATGAGACCAGGATCTTTACTCATAATAGCGGAACAATATTATTAGAGTGAATTAGAAAGATTCTTGCCGATGAAACTAATTTATTGGGGTTAGTATGAGTGTCAGTGGGATGAAAGGAATACATTAGTAGGGGAATTGTGAGACCATGTTCTATAAGTAGGACTTACGGCCAAGAGGGATTTAAAGATTGGAGGCCTAAAGTGAACGGCCAATTATTCGGCTAGTTGACGTTATTATTTGCAGTGGCAGAAATGTCAACCCATAGGTGGTTGGGGGAACATAAGTTCATGTTCTATGAGTGTCATTATGTATCTATGAGGGAGTATTATACCCCTTATGTTGCTTTGATTGGTCAAGTGGGATAATTGATTCTGTCAGTAAATAACTATTCCTGGAATGTAAACCTGGAGAGAATATTATCCATTATGTAAATTTTACTTTTGGAAGCCACTAGGGAATGAAGATAGAGGGTCAGTTCAATTCAAAATCCATTACTGACAATTGGTCTGACGATCGACATGATTGTAAAATGTTCATCCATATGTTGCATGGATAATGCGTTCTGCTTTTCATCAGTGTTTGACGTATGCATTTTGTTGGTTCTGTACGCTGCGTAACTTTTGCTTTATATATGTAGTTGTCTGCTCAGCGGTATTGTGGCTAAGACGAGAGCTATGTATTGCGTAGATATACGCCTTTGAACCGGAGTTGGGAGAAGCATTTATTGCAATAGATCGCGCGGTATTTTCTGTGCTTTATCAAAGTAGAGAGAAGGCAACAGTTAAGAATGGTCCGCCTTTCCTCGTAGGCAGTGCTGTTGGACTTTTGCATGTGTACCTTTAGGCAAGTAGCCATGGATGTCTCCCTAACTCCTAAATAATGAAACCACACAAAAAGACGCACAAAAGTGTAATGTGTTTTTCGCTCTGTGGAGCCAAGAGGTGGCCAACCATAGGACTAAGCTATACTTGTACAAATATTTTATTCCGATTTACAAACCACCCTTCAAAAATTTACGAGGTTTTCGTATTTATGAGACCCTCATCCTTGACGAAATCGTTCTACGTGCAACTTGTTTGAACTAGCCATTGTCTGATGTCAATGCCTCTCTCCGAAACTCCGCTATGCGAGATATGCGTACCAGTGCCACCAAATCTGCGTGAGTAGGAGTCGTCCGAAATACAATGTAAAGACAGGTGAATACTGTCGAAAAGCAGTGGTCTAGTTGGCGTGGACGATGCCTGAAATTTAAACTAGCGGCAAACTTTTTGTTGCCGATCAACGGAACGTGCTGCGAGGGTGATAGTTGTGTTACTTTTTATTGCTGCCAGGGTGATATTAGAGTTACACTTTACGTCTTCATGTTTACTCAAACTAAGATAACAGTAACAATAAGAATAACAATAATTTGAGGTATTTTTATGCTCTGGAAGGCGGGTGAATAGAGGATAAATCCTGTGCTGAAAACAGCCGAGCTAGAGAAAACAATAAGATCTTCGTGTGTAAGTTGCTCACTTCAGTTTATAAAGCAAGGCTGTTTCTCAACCTGTTCAGCATGACTCTTTAGCAGTAACAAAAAATCCTCGAAAATAATATCATTAACCATCACTAAATATGCTGATGGCGTTTCCATAAATTAATTTTGCATTTAAGCTGCTCCCAATGAGGATTACTCTTTGAAGTGTCAACAGAACGAAAATAGACAACAGTTTCGAATGTTTAATGCAAACGAATCGATTAGCAGAATCAGCCTGAGAACCGCTGTCATATTTTTATTTACTTACATATGCATATATCAGTTCGTGCTTCGTAACACTAGAGATAACTTGAGAAAGATTAGCGTGAACCGCAGTTGCGGAACAACGATGCTGGTTGGCACTGTGGTGCCCAACAGCGAATATAGGTTAAGGTCTCAATCGATTTCTTAGAGTATTTTCTACTGCCCTTTCTAATAAATTAACAGTTGTGGTGTGCAGTAAGAAAACATGAATTTAGGAACACTAGCGGTCTTTATAGTAATCGAACGATTTCTGGTCAACCAAACATTGTCTAGGGTTGAAACAGTTGCGTCAAGACAGCATGTCAATTGAAGCCCTGCGAAAGGGTGTACAGTTTAAGAGTGATTGAGTCCATATAAATAGGCCAAAGTCACCTGGCCACTGAAGTTATTCAGCTGGCTTGCTTACTTTATCACACAACACATGTTTTTATATCCGCGCAGTATGTAATTCCAATTTTACGGGAGTGTTGAAAAACGCTTTCAGCTTGAGCGGTATAGTTCAATGCAAGTCTTTTTGTTTTATCCAAGTGCACTAACTGGATAGCAATCCTTTAGGTTTTGCAGTTAATGTTTACAGCTAAACACTCGGGAAACGGTCTCTCGTCTTACTAATCTTACTTATCACACAGGACCGTCTTTAGTAGTGATGCGAGTAAAACTCGCAAATTTGGCCAGAATGCTCAACCCAGATCAGCGTATAAGACCGCAAACAAAGGCAACAGCGGCGGCCCTGAATCGGTCAGTGATGAACGTCTTCAGGTCGCATTTAATCATAAATCGTTATTATATATATTTGATGAAATTTGGTTACTAATCTATCTCTATTACCACTGCCGTTACAGTTATACTTGGTAGATCGTCCCTGCGGCCCATATTGGGCAGAAGAAACAACACACTCACCCAGTACCATAACAACTCAAAGTCATTGCCAATGGAGTCAAAAGCCTCAAGTATCTCAGAGGGTGAGTGCACGTACACTGTAAAGAATGCTTAAAATGATACCTACAGATAAGGTTTTACACCATGACGTATTAGTATATATGGAGTAAAGCAGGGGTGATATTTATTTATTTCACCGAATAAATAAAACAACGTAGTGTTTTTCAGCCTTGGGGATGACAAAGTTTGAAACGATTGTTGTTTGTTACGTATTCACCAGCTCCGTAATTGTTTTTGGCAACGACACTTAGAATAAAAACCTTCTAATGAAGTCGAATGAAAAAGACCTAGCTTAACGCAAAGTACGATGGGTTATCTCAAGAAAGATGGCGATAAATGTGGCATACCCTTCAAAATTGTCCGGATAGTAATGCTCACCGGTCAGTCAGTGGATCAGTTGCGCAGTAATCTGCTTTGATTAGCCCAGAGGTGCACAAGGTAGCATCCAATTCTTCGAATATTATTCTTAGTTCTGCTTGATTTGGATCAACCGGTTCGCTGGGTAGCGATTGTGTTCCGTTATTGCATACCTGAACGTGAAAGATAACGTACTTGTGGTCAGTAAATTACAGATACATCCAAACAGCCTAATTTGGATTTTTGGATACTCAATTTCTAAGAACAAACATTTCTCTGCAACTCACGATGGATTTCAACTTCTTGCACACATCCACACCGTGCCGATTGGCATTAGCCTCATTAAATGATGCTGACATGTTGAAATTCAATTTTGGATCGGTAAAGACGGATTCCACACCCAAATAAATAAGAGTTGTTTGTGAATTTCAGAAGGTGGATGGCGATCGGATTGGTTATAGTGGCTATGGGCGCTGAGGAGAGAGTAAGTTTCAAGGAACCACCATGTGCTAGGGGGATGGAATCGATATCCTTTTTGAATAACAACACGCATTTATCGCGTCTGCTGGAGTGTAACTGTCAGTTTTTACCTGGCTATCGGTGGATGTAGTGTTCTGACCCAACATTGGTATTTGACTACGATTTTGTAGGCATTAGGCGCTATTCTTTTGGGGAAAACAGCAACTCACTACGGAAAACTATGGGAAAAAAAACAACCAAGCGGAATAGCGCGAACAACTCCGTGTGTTGAAGTTATGCTTCCAGTTTTCATTTCATGGCCCACCACTAAATCTTCGGTTGTTTATCTAAATATTTATCAAAATTTCCCACCGACTGTCTTTGGTCACCATAGCATTCAACCAATTGACATTGAAAGCATTGAAACGTCTGCCCGTAGCCTCTTAGAATCAAGAAAGAATCAAACCTAGCGGTACAAACAATGTACTTAGTCGCAGTGACCTTACAGATCCTCCAATGAGGACAGAATAGCAGCGGTCAGCCGGCCGTAAATGATCAACTTTAAGTTAAACATTTGTACTGTGATATTGTATGTTATTGTTGTGATATTGTGATATTGTGATACTGTATGTTATTACCAATTATCCAACTGTGCTAGTCAAACACGTTTTTCACACCCTGTATGTATTGTCTATTCCGGGTATTATGCCTCCGTTTGCATGCCCTTTCTGAGGAATCTCAGGACCGCTGGGGAAGATCAAGAGATATGCGAATCATAATGGTATACTGGATACCCGAAACACGGTCAAGAATCTTGTTTCATATCTTTTCAATTGGCTACTCGGGATGCGTAACAGCCTAGGTATTTTAAGCGAAAGCTAATCAATATACAAAGTGAGCAATACAACTCATTTTGCAACAGACTGACAGAAATCTACACTTCATCGGAGCGCAAAAAGTTCTCGCGGTGCCTGAAGCATAGTCCTGAACCATGTGTCAGTCGAGGAGACAAAATATATTCTACATAAGATTTTGTTGTCGTTGTTGTTGCGGTTGTCTCCACTGGCCGGAGCACTTACTGTTTGGGCTTTAGCGGTTTCTTAAGGTTGATCTTGTAAATTGCAATGAATGCGGTATCGAGATCTACCCGATGACCCCAGTCCAAAAGACTTGCTGGATCTAAGCTGATCTTATCCAGCCTAGACGATATGACCGCCGGCTCACGGTTCTTTGTGTTTTTGTTTCACTGGCCTGTTCTATAAGAGCCGATGAATTGTTTCGAAGTTAACCCCTCATCTTTTGTCGTAGAATCGGGATACCGATCAAGGTTATACGAAGCTGAGCAGAGTCTGACATTCTAGTGAGTTTCTCATCCAGCAAATCAGTGTAAAGTACACTCAATAAGTTGGTCGTCGCACATTTTTATTTGTGTGGAAAATAAGACGCCCTAAGTGTGCCCTGCGAGAAATGTATGCTCAAGTCAGGTGATGAGCGTTTTTTTACGGAGTACGTCCTTACGATTGCCGATGTCAGCCAAAGCTTCGTGTGGGCCGACAATTTTGGTATATATCTTTCTATTTGACAGAGGGCATGTGCATATTCCATGTACACGGCTCGTGCTGCTAGAGCCCCTACTCTGCGATGGCCAAAGATCCTGCGATCATCCTGGTTTGTGAACCACACACGTTCGAGGACGAACGCATCTCTCCGCTCTCTAGAATACATGCATATGCATTATATATATAATGACATATATGTACATTATAATATACATATACATATATGTAGAATGTTGCTGCAGTTAGACAGGGTTTTAGGATCGCTAAGTAAAATCCAGAGGTTAGTAAAATATTTCAAAGTGAATTAGTCTTTGATTTGCGTTCTTAATCCTGATCTCAAGTAAGATAGATTGGCATCGAACAGCATTTTTTTCTGATTTTAGTAGTTTTCATAGAAGAGAGATGGTTACGCAACAACGGGCATCTTTACAAACTTGCACTTTAAATTTTCAGTGTTCTTAAGAAACAGATTTGCCCTAAGAGGGGTGATGAACAGCGGGATTCATTCGGAAGTCGCCGGTCTCCAACAAGGACTCACTCAACTGCGGAAGTGATGCTGACATATCATGCCATATCATCATTTAAAACGCTCTGCTATCCGGAGAAAAATACAGCAGTCACAAATTGACAGTGTGTAGACAAATTCTCTAGGGTTCGAGTGGCCGGTACCTCTGAGGACCTGGGCCCTTAATTGCTGCTCGCTGTTAATTCAAAGGTGCATCAACTGCAGAAACAGTTACTAGGACGCCTGAGTCTTCAATCCAGCCGTGCAACCGGGACCCATTTAAATGACAAAAGTTTGAACACTAAGACCAGCTTTGTGTGCCTTCACACAGGTATGTTCGTATCAGACATCGAATATTGGTCATATGAAAAAACGTTTCAGAAAATACGGCATCAGCGTTTTGAATGCAAATTGGACATAGGCATATTTGACTACATTACCATCACATTTGTCTAAAACTACAGGTTACGACTGGTTGTAATCGCACATCCTATCGGAATTTGACACTGTACTCTATAGTCTTTTGTTTCAAAATCTTGTGGAACTTTCAAGCCTGCGCCGTGCAATTGGCCATTTGATCTCATGGAAGGAGTTTGCTTGAGGCCTCGTCCATTTGCTTCAGTGACCCGTTGCCTTGTGTACCCAATTTCATCATTCCACACTTATAACTGCAGAGCTATCTGCATGGAAAATGTTTCAGGAGGACTAACGTTGGCTGAGTTGTAAGTATAAGTGGAAAAAGACTGATTAACATTCGTTCAACTGACAAAACGTTGTTAACAACTTTTAGAGTTCATTTGTTTAGTTGTTAGTTAACCGAAGGATATGGTATGGATGCTATGAAAAACACATTGAATCATTGGAAAAAGCACTCAAAGTTTACCGTTTGTTTTTCGAAGGTGAAAGGGCCACAGCTGGTGTGTTCCAAACAACCTTTACGACAGACTATTCCATTTTTTGTGTGTTCTTGGTCATCGTCCACACAATCTCTGATGTTTAAAAAATGGGAGGTAGATGTATAAGAATAGTTCTGCTTTTGTGAATATCAAAACAGTTGTCAACTAAATTATTGGGGAGTCGGTTACAAGTAACATTACAGTCTCCCGAGAAGGCAGGTTTACCCAGGTTTCATTGGTAACTTTTCTCAACCTTGTTGGAGCGGGACTGAACGTGTGCTTAAATATCTCGCCAGGATTCAGCTAGACAAAACTGCTACCGCTAATGTTAAATGTGGATCAAATTTCTTATTCATTAGACTTAGCTATAAAGAATTAAAGCAATGAGAAAGCAATGTGAAAATTCTAATGTAAAGTTTATTGTTATAGTTTATCTGAATCGCTATATTTGCGGAGGGCTTCCACAAAGAAGTAGGTACCCAAAACTGCATTTTGACAATACCCAAAAGATAGTTTTTTGATTGATCTAGGTGAGGATGCAGTTTTCTACTATCAACAATATTTTTCCACATCTAACTTCTTTTTGTGTTTCCATTGACGGAAACTCTACCACTTCGCGTGGGTCTTAGAACATAGCCTGATGAAGCGCTGCAGCAGGGATCAGTAGTTTTTCCGCGACTAGGCCTATACATAAATGATTTATTTCCGGACCAGAGGCACACTTGCTTTTGTTAGTGTTGCCGTTCAAGTCAAAAATATTTCCTTCCGACCTAATGCCTCTGATCCTAGCGATTTCGGATATGCCTAATGAAGAATATCAGCGAAACAACGTTTTGCGGAATCCATCACATTAATGCGGGTTCTAGGCCTTATAAGACTCTAATGAAAGGCATCCGAATTCAACACCTATGAGCGGCCATTAAATGCAGGAAATCTGTTTAACTACTGAATAAAATTCCAGGAGTTTCATGGTTCTCTCGTCTCTATTTAGTAGACTTCGGAGTGCGAAACATGAGCAATAGCTGAGAGGTAGCCTATCCTGCCGTTTATCCAGATACTGAGGAATTGAATGGTGTATAGATACTAAACAAATGGCTGCATGCCCAAATCTCCCTGCAGGTTTCCCAATTTACTGGCGTTACGAAAATCGAGATAAAAATTTCAGAATCTCTTCAAAGCTTGCAAACTGTGTGCGCATTTCGTTTGTTATTCACAGGTTGCCAGGATGCCCACCGTAGAACAATATGGAGATGATCGCACTGTATAATTTTGAGCATAAACCGAGGGATATGCATTTATTCAGCCTTCAGTTCACGCAAGTTGTGGATGGATTGCTCTCCGCTCATATCCGATGCGAAATGGGACTTATGGGACGAAGCACTGCGTTGGTGGATATAAAATTTGGTAACGTCTCCTCGAAAAATCCGAATGTTTTAGCTATGTTCCCCATGGCGCTTAACCTATTGGTAGTTGAAAATGACATTCGGTATATATTGTGTGATGCATTCACGCTGTCAGTACTCTGTTTGCATGTCGATCCATCCATTGGTCCTGGTAACTACCAAGTAATTTGTTAGAAATGTTTTGGAGCTTTTGAATACGGAAGCGCTTGCTCACTTGACTGTTTCATCGCTAATCAGTTAGACAAACAGGTTTGGTGTATATGACCCTCTGTCCGTTGGTCAACTTGTGCTGCTAGTGGATTCACTGCTACGGAATTTTCAGCTACGGAATCTAATGGATTCAAGTTTCTGTGGAACAGGCGAGATTTTCGGCGCCAATTAAACCCGAATGTCCATTAACTAATGAGTACGACAGAACCGTGTAGCTGGACTTTCAAGAATTCGGTCCAAGTTTGTTCTGAAACAGGACTTTGTTAACCGAATTTGATGTCTCCTATCGGCCAATCGAACTTGTATGTAAGAAGCTATTTGGACATCAAGCTGTCTATGTTGATTATGTTCAACCACGATGGCACCATCAGGGTTGTCGGATGTGTTCATAAGAATTTAACCTCTTGTTAACTGGTTACGTTCTACAAGTACTATTCTAATTTATTACCATAACAATTGCGTAATGACGCGCAGTTTCGGTGTTTAGCTGCGAAATATAATGGGACTTTCGTTGTGTTTGTAGTTATGTAGAGGGATACGGGGATTAGAGTAAAGGGTAGTCTAAATTTATCGAGAAATCCCTGATTTGCAAAATCAGTTTGGTTTTCATGAGTGACTCAACTGAATCTCTCGTTTATGATGTTCTACAACTGAATGTGCCGCAAACAGGTTGCCCCATGTTTCATTTGGTACGATATTTGAGATATCGCAGTATTTCATGAGGGGGACTACTCACAAGGTTGCTTAAAACTCTTCGGCAGCCAACGATCGGTTTTTTTCTTCTTGGGGCTCAACAGAGTTTCCATCAACCTTATGCTTTACTTGAACCCAAATTGGACTGTTTTTGAGAAATACACTCATTTGCAAATCAGTTTGTTTTTGACGAGAGACTCAACTGAATCGCTCGTTTATGAATGTGCTGAATGTGCTGCACACCGGCCGCCTGATGACTCAGCTGTCACGATATTCGAGATATTTGCAAATGAGTGCATTTCTCGAAATCAGTGCAAGTCGGTTTCAATTAGAACATAAGGTTGATGGAAAATCGGTGGTCAGTCACAGGGTTTTGACTCACCATCGAGTCGGTGATTAGGCTAACGAAACTAGGCTTAAGTTTCTGACAGTTTAGTGCGCACCTAATAATTTGGATATCCCAAGCCATTGCATCGTCGTTTTACTCATTATATACATGGAATGTGGTTTACTATAAAGGTGTCCACCACAATATATTCTTCATATTCGAACCTCCGTTTACGTGCGCATTGTAACCTTTCGTGCTTCAAATGGAATACATAATTTGTAAGCGATCCGTCAGACATTCAAAATCAGCCAGCTTTTGTTGAAAATCTTCACAGGTGTGAATATTGTTTCGGCCTGAAAACCATACAGCTAAACCTCACTTTGGGCAATAATAACTCTTCAATAGATGAAGCTAACGAACTAAAATAATCCTTTGTTTGATAGTGTTCCGAAGTTTCACTGAGATCACGTCTGAACATATTCCAGCTACCATACCACAGAATAGCAAATTGGTTACGGCAGATTTCGACATGTGCTTTCGAAGCTTGTAAGATAGCAGCTTCGTGGACATTTCCAAAAACGATGCAGCAGTTGATACTTTCCTGGGGCCAGTGTTAACGGACATGGTTGGAAGCAAAATATGCCGATGCGACTTTCAACATTCTATTGAAACCACACTTCCCAGTTCGTACGTACAATAAATCTACCACAACAACTCATTTAATCCAAGTTTTTCCTCTCTCAGACCAACTCACCAAGTTTTGCCGCTGGTGCTCAACACCGAATCTTCGCATCCATTCAAGGGCCAACCATTCAAGGACCCTACGACTACCTAATTTTTTGGCGTCATTTTCACCATAGATTGGGTGGCTCAATTCAGCGTTTTAATTTTGGCCCTTGGTTACCAAAAGTAGCCTTATCAACTAGTTAACAGAACAACCGATAAATCACTTTTCGCAGTCTGCCATAGCAAAGGGCCGGGGCTTTTTGTTCATTGAGTACAGCATGAAGCCATGAATAGCGACGCGTCTGATTCATACCTTTCAGAGGCATTTTTGGATTTTCTGCTACCCGTTCTACAAAATCATAAGAATGCTATTGCCCGCCGCAATCCTGTACTGTTGGCTCCCATTCAACGCTTTTTTCAATCACGTTCTTAAATACTGACCACTGATTTACATCCAGATTACATTGTAATGAATTTCTCGCTAATGCACCGTTGGTAAACCAGACTTCTTGGGTTATGATCCAGGTTCGCTCACGTCAGGAAGTCATCATCAGACAACAAGCGCATCAACAGTACATGGCCCCTCACGTGATCTGTACGACACCAACTAACCTCGATTGATTCAAAGTGAACTCAACGCGGGTTATCACCATTAGAAATGTACTTTCAGAGTAATATGTAAACCTATGCTAGTATGCAACCATCGTTGAAACACGGGTGATGTCCACCAAGAACACCCGGGCTACGCTCAACGCGAAAACTCTCTATAGCGTCGGCATTTCCCGGTCATCCCGCTGTTGATATGGAACCAACCTCTTCGCCATAAATAGCCAATCTAACTGAACACCTACTATGTGTTCAGAAATATAACGTTCAGTAATTTGGCTATCAAAAAGAACTTGCTCCAAAGATATGTTCCTCCAACCCTATATTTCGTGGTGTAGAAGGCGAATAGCTTTGAAGTGTTCGGATCTAATTTCTTATTTATTTTCCCTCAAACGTAACGTAGTTTGCATAGCCAAACTGTGTCCACCGAAACTGTGTTTACATGCAGGCTGTGATTGTAAGGTGAATTTATCCTATTCTTTATGGGTATTAAGTTACGCTGCCATCCAACTGACTTTACTACTGATGTTGACCATTACCTACTGTATAGAAATGTACCCGCAGATTCCCTGTACTATTAAGCTACTTGCACTTCAGTTCATTCAATTTTACCCCGTGTATGTGCCGGGAGGTGTTCGCTCTTTCAGTTCACGGAATGTAGCTTGCAAGGAGAACAAACATTTGGCATTTTAAAGGAAATTTCAGAAAAGGGCTTACCTTGGAAACAAAATCGAATAGGTAGGTTTGGTTTTCACTCGCAACGTTTCTGACCATGCCTTGACAGCAGCGACCATTGCCGAAAGCTGGATTATTGAATCAACAGAAATTTAAAAAAAAGGTTAAAAAATGCTGCGCTGATGTGAACTTTGTTCCCAAATGGCAGATTATATAAATACTCTCGTAAACGTTATGTATTTTACTTGTATATATGTAAATATGGGGGATTTGGAAGCATATAACAAAAATAAACGGTTCAATGTAGCGAAAATCTGTTTACAGACATACTTTTGAACACAACTGTTTAGCTGTGCATTGTGAGGATTTCGCGCACGGGGTCAGTACCATCTTTTAAGAAACTTATTCGCCTGGTTCGCTCAAGAAATGGCGAACTGTGAGTATATATACATTATTATTTGTTGAAATCAGCCTATCCTGCTCGCAAGAAAAGGATAATTCCGAAGCATCTTTCTCCTTTACCTATGAGTAACCCTTTTACACTGTTGTTACACTGTCAACTGTTGTCATCCGTTGACTTATCTGTGGCGTACAGATTCATTTGTAGAAAGATGATGAGAAACTAAGCACTGAATTTTGAGAACTATGCGACTTAATCAAGCTTATGCAAATGACATACAGTTGTTTATTGCTGTCACATGTTGTGTGAAGAAAGTTCTTTCTAAATTTCGCCACTCAATAGGTGTCAAATAGTCAACTGCTGGCCGGGGTTGAATGCACCCGGCGTGGGGGCTCACAACCTGGGACTTTAGATTTCAAAGTTCATCCAATCCGTCAGACGCAGCAGATACATACATCACGAAGCACCCAGTCTTTTTATTACAATCGTGCAGCCAGGCCGCATAATAATGCAATTTAAAACTACTCTGTGATGAATCCATGGGGGTGAAGGTTTTTATTCTGATCATTAAATGCCGCTTGCTTCTTCCTTTTAAGTATGGATTTATAGTTGTCTAACCCTAAGAGACATGTTTCGTAACCCAACTGTTAAAACCATCCCAGCCTGATTTTGTTTGCTGAGAAATGACACCCATCAGGAGCACGTCATGAAAAATGAATGTTTTTGATGCTTGGAATGTGCGTCCTCAGGATATGTAAAACCTCTAATTTTACGCGGGGTATTTTGAGAGAAATGCCGAAGTAACATTATAAATAGCAAATGACATGTTTGCCTACATGCTGAATCATGGGTGTGGTTCCTTAAAAGAGCGATTTTGTCTCGGCTTGAACAGACGTTGCTCGTAACTCATCATGAGATATCTTTTTCGTCTTACAAAATTTAGACAATTAAGCAGGTATCCAGTCTGGTAACAAGCGTACGCACATGGAACTGATGCATATGGAACTGTGGTTTGTAAGATTTTCTCGCTAACTAATCTTTAGATTTCTGCAGAGGCGCATTTGTATAGTCCTCTGGGGGTCACTACTCTAAAGCGGATTATTCTACACCAACCAGCCGGAGGATCGCCGGTTGCAAGTACTCACCGAAGTAAAAAGAATCAAGGATCCCGAACAATAATTAGGTAGGTTCAACATGTTTTTCAGATTTACAGAGTACCGGATTAAGCTTTCAATAACCATTCCCAGACACACATTCGTTTAGTCCCTCTACCCAAACTGAGAATAAAACCGCACAAAATCCTCACAGACCAAGGCTAATCCTTTCAAAAACTCCAGGCTTAGAAAAACCATCAAACCGTCAAAGAACACCTGCAATCGAATAAAAATGTCACATTATAAAGCAAACATTGGTTAGACAGGTTTTAACGGAAGAAAATCACTAGCTACAAGAAGGGAAAACCCAAACATAATGATTAGCTACAATTTTTTTAAAATCCCTCCCTTCCAAATAGAATGATAACCATCTAACGGTTATAAATTTGAAACGTATTGTTTTGTAAATTGCGTTCATCCCCACGAAAAGTGACTCACCGGATCACGTTTTGTTTCACTGCCATTCAGCTTTTTCCCAACAGTAACACGAATTTTAACGCCGTCAGTGAAGGCTGCTGACGATGCGACCTGAATATATATATTAGTCAGTCGACTTTTAGACCTTACCTTTGATTTCAGAGTGGATCGAATCGAGACTGCATCAACTGCATTCAGTATTACAAACACGGTCAACAGTGCCGGTATTCTGGAAATCATTTCTATTGCGGAAGTAGAATAATATTCACGGGGTTCATTTTTAAGTGCTATTGCCAATTTTCTGTGCAGCTGAGCAAAAATATTTTTAATCCATATTTATTTATAAATAATGCACGTCCGCAAATGAGGAAGCACCCGTGAATTGTGAGAAGTCTATGGACATCAAAGTCCTCATGTAAATAAAAAACCACTGCCATCAAAATCGCTTAGAGGACTTGATCCTTTCACTCAAAAAGGGCATGCACCACTTCGTAGCAGGGAACAATCAGTCTAGACAAACCGTTAGTTGACTGGCTCGTGAAAATGCTTGTTGCGGGGCTCAAATGGCAGATACGGCACTAACACCTAGACTTGCTTAAACGGAACCACCTCAGTGAAATTAATTCAAAGTGCGAGATAAGTAGAGAATCATGTTTCGATATGATTCATTCAATGCTCCAGAAGGCAAAACATATTCACACTGACAAAGGTATGTGGTGATACCACAATGCATATTTTGTTTAAGCCTAAAATGAACTATGCGATTTGACCCTTGGTATTGTGCATAAAAGATATAGTGTCCCATCGGGATGCCATGGTGCGACCATAACGAAGCAACCAGGCACGTGATAACACACGATCTCAAAATGTACATTTCAACTAAAGTTTCTGATGATACTAAAATACATCCCTGCAACTCTAAACCTCATTCCATACAGCGTGCAGTTGTCCCGACCATTCATACGTTTTTAATTGGTCGTCAGGCAACTTAAAATCTGGCTAAATTTAAGTCTTCTTAAAAGGCGGACAGTGCGTCAGTGAATTGTTATCCTTACTTATTAGTAGATATATTGCATGGGTGAATACTAGGCAAAACAATAGAAGGCTTAAGCGATGCCTGCTTGAAAACGTATTTGGCTTTCACCTATTTTGGTTATATCCTATGGCTTTGTATTATTGCTTGCTTGTGGGATTCACATAATTATTAGCGAATGCCTGATATTCCACGTATTATTCAGTGTACTGAAGAGGTCATGTAATAAAATCGCATCATCTGGATAAATGACAAGTGAGGCGGATTACAAGTTAACCTTCTACATACGCGTTAAGTTTCAAATTTTCGGTTGTTCCAAAATGACTTGGAAATTCAAGGTCACTAGCTGGGTATGGACATAACCCAATTACTGCCCACGTGAATCCTCGGATCTTAGTGAACTGGTACTCCCCTAGGTATAAAGCATTTTACTAGTTTTGTTAGCCCCGCAGCGCGGACCTCAAGTGGTATAGAACCTCATGCATGAGGACTTACTGAAGTGGGTTTTTTCTTGGAGCAATGGATTTAGGCTCTTCTTGGTAAATTTCAAAGTCATAGATTTGAATCTCCGGGATTAGACAGAAAAAAAACTTGTTCCACGTTTTGATGTACGAATCAGGTTTCCGAGGTTATTTCCTCGAAATCATCACATGATTAACAGCGCAATTCGGGCTACTAAAGCACAATTGTTATCGTTTATCCCGAACAAGTGAGAAATAAAGCACCATTTGTCACAAAACTTTAAATCTTCTAATTCAAAACTCTAATTGTCCTGACCCTGGCTAATGCTTATTGTCTTTTGGAATCAACTTGTTATGGTTCACTGGTTATGACTTAGGTTTCTGTATCTCAAATTCGGTCCCTCCTATGGCAACAGCTATTCGTTTCATGAGCAAAGTTTCCTTTGGTTATTCATCTATGCTTTGAAGCGCTACTAGAGCAGCATGATGTAAGAAGATCGTTTCGATGGTATTAATCAGACTATCGCAAATTGCAATCACCTCCCCGGGGCTTTATTGTATTCCCGTGGCAACAAACAAAAAGAAAACTATTCAAAGCTAAAAAAAGGACACGTCTTTATTCGTTATCGGGGTGAAAGAACAGAGTAAACGTTTCCTGCAGTTTATGCGGATAGTGTGTACATCGAACAAAGATATGTGGACTGGTCGAGTCAACTAAAACGGATCTTGTCTGAATCTCTGCGTTTCTACCCTTAGCTAGAGCACAAGGCCACTAAGTTTCCCAGATGACTGACCCATTTCGTCTGTAGACTGTTTTGGGCTCGCAGTTCCTACCTTTGACATTCGACTGAAACCCGTTTCTTGGAGATTTAAACATGCCATTAACCGGGTTACAAATGGCGTAACGTGTTTAGTCGTAACCGACGATCCGCAGAAGAAAACTGGAACATCAATAATATTGCTAAATTCCCATTAATCTAACCGCAAAAATGAAATGCGCGAACGCAAGTGTTGGTTTTAAGGAAAGAAACTATTCACTAGTGAAGGTGTATTGTAACTTTTGAAACGGAAAGCAAAAGGTTATTTGCAACAAATTGCTGTAGGTAAAATACTGTATATATAGCAGTGTTTATGAAGGTGTAATGAGTGCAACATGTCGTGTAAAAAAAGACTGACAAAAATGATGTTCACCATGGATAATACTGATGTGTGAGCGCCTGGTGAGCACCTGTAGTTCAGTTACCCTGTGAACCGGCCTGCACCGCCGGCTCAAACATGACAAGTCCTTTAAGAGAGCTTGTTGCGAATAACCGGGTATAATATTTTCATATTCCCTCAACTGTTTACCAGAAAACTAGTTGTCAAAAAGATAAGTAATCGAAGAATCATGAGCCTTACCTACATTCTCACTTAAGACTTCAAATTAGACAGCTATTTGGAGGATAATGGGGGAAATTCATGCAACCAAATACTTTATTGATTAGCTGATTTTGGATATGAACAGCTGTTGACAGCACAGTATAAACTACAAAATATTCATTTGAATTCGCCATTAATATTGCACTAGAATAAAGTAGAGAAACATTGACTGAATGGGATTTACCATTTCATGAACGTCCAAAATTAATACACTGTACTAAAAATTATTATTTCTCTACTGAAAGAGAAGAGAGGGCGAACCGCACAGTTTAGAGGTTCGCAAATGGAACACACTATTGTTAAATTTGAACGCCAATCTGTCCGACAGATAACTAAATGTAGTAAGTGTTTCCTGCCAAAAATAACTTGGCCCAAATTTCCTAAGCATCAGCTAAACGGGATATGGTTTGTGAAGCGATAGGTAAAACTTGTACTGATTTAAATAAGGTGTATAAATTATGAGCAATTTTATGGTGTTCTTCATAGTCCCATACGTTGTCCACTTGCTCTCAGTGACCACAATAGTGCATCTCTTGCAGAGCAACGTACCACTGACTTACTTTGAATGTGAAAAGGATGAAGTACAGTGTGACTTTCTACTTTTATAGTAATCTGTAACAAAGAATTCACCGTTGATATTCCCACCAATCCGTGTTCCATTTCAATGATATACCACGGAGCACACAGTGATAATCTTTTGCTACCAACTCATTGATTTTTTGTCTTATCTAAGCATACCATTGAAGTGATCTGCTGTGTGCAGCGGAAATCGATCAGGACGGAATCGGCCGGGTCTTTTACTTGAAGATTGGAGCGTGTGAGAAGTAAAATGAAGATGGGCAACGTTTACGGTATTGAGGCATAAGGATCGTTGCCTTATTAATCAAGAAGTGAGTATTAATTTTAATATGCTTGCCCATAAAGCAAAAAGAACGTTTTATAAACTGTTTGTTACTCTTCTCTTCTACCTAAACAGGCATTTTCTCCATATGGTTTCTAAAAAGTATAAATGGCTGGACTAAATCGGGAAAACACTTATATTCTGGTTGTATAGTGCGACAAAACTCCCTTAGAAAGTACAATGTTTCTGCTACTCACAGCCAATTATGCACAACTTGATTCGGAATACCTCGAGCTCTGAGATGTAATTTTTCTTAAATTTGAGTATGACCGAATGCCATCTTTATTTCTTATTATTATCACTAGTATTATTCACGAAAACTTTAATTTGGGTGTTCATCTAGTATAAAACATTTCCTATCACTACCAGCTGCTTTCCCTTCAGGTAAATCATTGGATACTTATACGAGCATCGACGAAATTTACCCTCTCTCCCTCAGTTTGACAAAGTTAAAATGAAACGGTTTTCACCAGGCCAGTGGAAGCATAATAAAATATGCTTTCACGAAAATGCTCTTATTGGCTAAATTACGTAAAAACATTACGAAAGGTAACCCTTAATAAATACGTTTATCCCGAAAAGCATCCTATTTTAACTAGACATACAAGTGGCTAAAACTAGTAGCCAATAATTTGGTGAGTCCTGTTTTTTGTTCCATTCTTCCGTGGACTTCCCCTGCGCGTCTTTTCCAAACAAAATAAATTTACTTTTGGAGATCCAACGTTAATTTCCTGGTGAATGATTTAGTGAAGTTAATAATTTAATAATAATAATTAATAATCTAATGAAGTGCTAAATTAGATGGCTACAAGGCAGTAAGTTGCACAGATCGAAATGGATAAAATAATGGAATGTCGAAAAATGTGCATATTGTAAATGTGCGTTTGGGTCAGCAATGAATAAGCAACCGAACAAATCCTACCCCCGGCCATGAATCTTCATCATCTGAAAAGTTAAATCCGAATTTCTGTCTTTTTTTCTATTTTTGTCGTACACGGTTTTAGTTGAACCCAAGTTCGTCGTTCTAGACCCATGATACATTGATTCGAATTTTGAGCGTGATATTTTACTTCATTTCGGAATACTTGCAGAACCCTAGCCAAAGTTTGCAAGGCTGCACAATGTCCTCACGAAATTCCAAGTCTTAATACTTAAATTCCTCTTGCGGTGTGCAGTCGATTGACAAGCGTGCTCTAGACTTCATTAGATTTGACTTTTTCTCTGAAAGCCTCCACAAAAGCATTGTAACCTAACACAGGCTCGTTTCACACTCTTTTATTTCCAATGTGCGACGCGATTTGCCATGCTAACAGTCAATGCGAAGTAAGCAGGACGGTTTCCAAAACAAAAATATATTGGCCAAGATGATTCAGTTTCTTGTCGATCAAATGGTATTTTACCCGCTTGTCAAACTTGGCAACTGGAT